ATGGTTCTTCCTTCTTAAGTGTACCACTCACCATCCCTAAGTTAATTTGAAATGGGTTGCCATTTCCAGCGTGAATTCGTCCTTTAAGTGCGCAACCGTCCAGCAAGCTACAGCCCGAGACTTCAACATGTTCCTTTCGAGCATGTAAGAAAGGCAAATGATAAATGAAAAAACAATGTGCAGGGGATGTTGGAGGCACGGGCATCTTGCAGTCAGTTTACCTGCACTTCACGCATTGAATGCATGCTGGACCTACATATCGCGACATTCAAACGACATGCATGATGAATACAAAAGCGATCTTCCAACAAAGTGTTTGCTAGAGGAACGCACGCGAAATACCAGCTGATCCCTCCGCCTCTAAGTTAGCAGCTAGAAGGGAATTTTCATACGCCCACTCGAATCGCAGATGATAAGAAATGTAACAGCAACGTCGAAGCCATTCTATACGAAGAATAGTCCATACCTTGACTCCACAAAGGAAAGCCTGCGCATTCTTCGAGCCAAACAAAGGGTTTGTGATGCAAGCGTATATTAATGGACACGGTCCATCCAACGAAACGTTATAATGAAGTACAAATCTAAACGAGATCATCACAATAAGCAACAAATGGCAATGAAAATAAGAAGTGAGTGGTAGGAATCTAAAATTGCACATACCCTTCCAGTTCAATGTCACCATGATTGTTGAAGTAATCGCGAACGCGCTTTTCAATGATCTTCCTCACCTGAATAGAAAGTTAGATAAAAAATACAGAGTGTACCTGCGCATAGGTTCCGCAGTACCAAAACGGGCAATGCTTTTCGATGTCCATTACACATTTTCTCAACAGAGACTTTTGCAAACACTACTTTGTGCTAATTGGATGTTAGACTTATTTTAGTAGCACTTTCATACTTCATACGACAATTCCGAAAACGGTCCAGAAAAAAGATCACAGTTCGACTCACCGAATATTCTGATGGGATTAGGGGCGCTTGAGATGACTGTGAAACTTCCAGCTCACATCCTCCAATTACAACAACTCCTCCAGAAACCGATGGTTTACATAGTAAAGCGCTTGCGATGGGAGTAGAGCCCGCCAGCCTGCAAATAGTAATACTTTGATTTAGTGAACCTGCAAAAATATCGAAATTACTCCGCTGAAGACTCCAAAACAAAAATTATAGTAGTACTGTCGCAAGAAAAAAAGTACAGCCAGAAACCGATATCCTTTAGAAAGCTTCCTATCCATCATGGCATGGAAGGATTCATGGAATTTAGTGCGTGAGCCTCAAGAGGGCTCCCCAAAGAACGATGCAAAGAAGGCTAACAATACACCAGCTTATTACATGTACTTTCTTGGCCGCACATCTCGGAATGAATTTGACCATTCACAACGACTACCAGGGGTGTGGTTCACTAGGACAGAAAGCGACTTTTCGCGTTTCGCAGCGCGAAACATTTTCCGCTGCGGGAACCTCAGGTCCACCGCTGATCATCAGTGGACCCGAGGTTCCCGCAGCGAATCATCAGTGGACCCGAGATTCCCGCAACGAACAATGTTTCGCGCTGCGAAACGCGAAAAGTCGCTTTCTGTCCTAGTGAACCACACCCGACTACCAGACTCCTACCGTCAAAAAGGTATCGACGTTGAGGATCCCAGCTGAGCTTTTCTGGCAATCCTTCCAGTAATAAAGAGTCTCAGGAGTAATAACCTTCGAAACCCAAGATCGAAACCCTTCGTGCAAGTGGAGCACGCCATAACGAGGAATGACGTCTCCATTGGAATAATTGTGTGTAGATGATGTTGGTCGCCGTCGTGAAATCATTCGACAAGATATTTGCAGTACATGGCTCGGACAACAGATTGATTACCGGCTGAATTTGCCGTACTTTCTTGGGTAGTTATGGTTGTGACGCTTCTGTCTACCCGGTGGGCGAGAGCCCCGAGGAAATGTCGCCATGTGTTGTTCATAAGTTTTACACAAGAGTTTTTTCTAGAAAAAAAGGAAAAAAGAGCGTGTTGTTCGATCAATGTCGTCATCCTGGTCAGTGTAGAGGCATGGTCAAAAAGGTCACAGTTTTCTTTTTCAATAATTAAAGCTTTGTCAAAACCAAACCGGATGTTTTCACCTGAAAAATTGAAGCACACACATCAATCTGTCAAAAAACTCTAGAATAACCGTTATGCCTTATACACGACCTAATCTGAGGAATAGGTGTCAGGGTTCCCCAATTTCGTCTTCTAATTATATTACTTCTAGGTTTTGTCCAGGTTCTGTGATTTGAAAGGTTTCGTTTAATGGAATATTTGAGAATGCCTTCACTTGCTCTCTGTGCTCCTCTTCTAGATAATAAGTGTTTTTCCACCCCATGCACTTACACTCAATTCA